GCTGGGTGCACTCGACGAGTTGAGGTCAACATGGACTATTGACCTTGACTTTGACCAGGGTTGACTTTGAGGATAATTATGGTAATTCGGGATTGTGACAAGTTAATCACAAGATGATTATAGGCGGTTGAGTTGGAGCAGTGCGTGGGATTTATCCGATCTTAGCTTGTCAGTTCAGCATTCGAGAGGTGAGTCTTCTCACCATACCAATGGGTCTAAGGCACAAAGGCCGGCCCATTTTATGATATGTGGATTATCGATTGATTATACGTTATGTTAATATGACATTTGCATGGAAGACCCCGGGGGGTTCCCGTGGCATTTGGTGTAAGACCTTGGAGGGTTTCCATGGCATCCTAATATATATGCATGTTTAGTTTGTATGATATTTGTTTGGTAGTGAAGACCATGCGGGGGTTCCCATGGCAGTTAGAGAAGACCATGTGGGGATTCCCATGGCAGGTAGTTAAGACCACGTGGGGGTTCCAGTGGCACTAGGTGTAAGACCCTGGAGGGTTTCCATGGCTTCCTTATATGTTTGTATGCATGGCTTATGTGATATATGTAGCTTTTATAGCTAATATGATATGTGTTATGTGGATTGTGTGTGGGGTATGCTCTGGGGGACTCACTAAGCATTAGTTTACAATTTTTGGATTTGTTTCAGGTACATCTGATCCCAAGGGCAAGGGCAAGGTTTGTTGGCGCGGCACGCACGCTCTCTCAGATGTTTTTGTGGGACACTGATGTTTTGAAATAAAATTGTTATTGTTACGAATTTGAAAACAATTGTATTGAGATTTTATGGTTTATGGAAAACTGATTTGCCTATTAAAAATTAAATTTTCTTTTGAAAAATCGGGTCGTTACAGTAAAATAAAACTACCAGAAGTGCATATTCAAGGCACTATAACTCAACCAATGTTAGTTCAGTGAAATCATTCTAGAGCCTAAGTTGTAGTTAACATAGAGGAGAATATGCAAGAAAAATTTTCAACTCATATCAAGCTCGTATGAAAATATGACAGTTCAAAATTCAAATATGATAAAAAAATAAAAATAAAAAATAAAAAATAGTTCTAAAGTACCGAACCTCGTTTCACTCATTTTGCTAGTAGTAAATACCGTCCTGAAACTATAAATACGGTACCATTTTGATTCGGTACCAATTGTATTTTCATTTAGGCTTAATTCAGAAACATTTCGTAAATCAAATGTCATTTTAATTTGAAGGATTTTTAAGCATGCTGCGAGTTTTATTTTTAGTTGTGATGAAACTAAAATTATGATTGTTGGTTAGAAGTCATTAATCATAACTATTTAATTTTTTTTTGTAAATATATAATGATTGATATTTGTATTAATTAAGCATTCCGACCAACACAATGTATATGTATGTATTTAACATTATAAACTTATTTTCCCATATTAGGAACAGGGACTATGAGTATCGAACCTAATTCTCCCTTTCTTTTTTCCCTGTTTTATACGAACTTTTTCTTTTGCTTTTTATTATAGTTTGGAAGGAAATAATTATGAAAACGTGGCTAAATGATCACTTCATTTTAAGCTAATGAAAGTGGGTAATTATCGAAGTTGCATCTGGTTCTAGTTTATCTTTTGCCTTGATTGTCGGCTATCGAAATTCTCATTCCTATTCCTTTTGATTCTTAAGAAAAGTAAAAGGATTTGTTTCGTGTAAATGTAAGTAAGTTCGTTTTATGCATCCTATTTTTGGCTTTCTATTAGGGGTGGAAATTATTTGGTCCGGAACCAAAAAACCCGAAAACCAAATCGAACCGAAATCGATTTCAGACCGAACCATATTCAAATTCGGTTTTTGGTTTGGTTTGAGACCAAACCGAATTGTAAATTTGGTTTTTGGTTCGAGTTTCGGTCTCAAGAAGTTTAAACCAAACCGAACCGAAAAACCGAATTTCATAAATCAATTAATTAAAAAATATATTTTATATTTTATATTTTATATTTTATATTAAATAAAAGTATTAATTATAAACTAGAAATCATTTTAACCCATTTACTCTCTTGATCATTTCGTATGAAACTTTATATCTTTCTCTTTGCAACTTTAGATTTCTATGTTAAAAATATTTTAATTTATGTTTGAATTTTTTTTTTAAGTTAATATTTGGTTTCCTCGGTTTTCAAACCGTACCAAACCGAATTAGAATTGGTTTTCGGTTTGGTCTAGAGAATTTAAATTCGATTTGGTTCGGTTTTCGAATTGGACAAAAAAAATATTTCAATCCGATGAAACCGATTCGAGGAAACCGAAAACCAAAAAACCGAACCGATTCACACACCTACTTTCTATCACAGTTTGGTTGAATTTAACTTTTTAAGTATGTTCCAATCTTTTTCAACTATTCTACAAGTAAAATTGTTGAATAAGTCAAATTATAAGTAAAACGGTAAAAAAAACATATTTTTTATTAGTTTTTATTTCAATTAAACTATCTTTTAACTCAATATTAAAAAGGGGATTTTGTTTTTGAATTTAAAATTAAATAATGGAAGTCGTTACCAAAAATAAAAATTGTTCTATTGATAAGTGGCTATTATTTATTTATATATATTTAATTAATCAAAATCCCTTATATGTTAATTGAAAATACCTTTTTGAAATAAAAATTAGACAAAATTTCATAAGTGGTCACTGTGTTTTGCAAAATATTGCACTTTGAAGACTTCTATGAAAAATGTCACACAGCTGGTCCTTATGGTTTCGAAAATTGCATGAATAATCATTAGTGGTCAATGCGTGTTTGGTCCTTCACGAACCTAAAAATACTATATTATCCTATTTATTTATTTTTAATTGGTTTATTGTCTATTTTTTTAAATGTTTAATAAATAAGATTGCATAGTTCATACCCCACTACTCTTTATGAAAATATGAATCGTCCGTTTAGCCATTGTCCCTTGTCCTCTCCGACAAAGTCATCTTCTTTGTTCAGCCAAAATCTTTAATGAACATAAAGATAAATCAAAAACCAAAACATTAAACTTGTAAAATGGAACTACATCGTCTCTTACCCCTCTCTCGCCTAGAAGCTCCATGTCCTGTCCATTTCCGTTTGTAAAAACAACCATTCAACCATGGATATGGATCTGTGATTTTTTTTCATCGCTATCTATACATTCTGTGGATTTATCCCTAACACGACTTTGTCAAAGATCCTCATCCCATCGCACAACTGTGATGTAGGGATCAAGCAGCGGTGGTGGAGATCTACACCGGCCGCCGACGACGGAGCCCTAAAGTAGCTGAGATCGAAAGCAGTTTGTCGTCGATGGTTGTCGAGACGAGGATGAGGGCATCGATTGCTCTATGATCTCGTGATAGAGAGAAGATGGAGGTAGAGTGTTTGAAAGGATGTGGGTAACTTATTTTATTTTTAAACTAGGTGTAAAACTCGTATATTACACGGGTTGATTAAAGAAAATAAAATATTAAAATGTAAATATTAAGTATTTTTAAAAATAAAATTTTGAAATAAGGAACGAAGAACATATTAATTGCAATTTATATAATATTTATTACACTTGATACTTTACATATATAAGTATAAGATTATGTTGCTTTTTAATTTTAAAAATTGAAAAAAAAAAACCATAAATTGACATGTGGATATTATTTATTTAAAAAATATTACAAAATGACAAGTATCAAAACTTATCAGAGATTGAAATGTGGTAAAATTATCTTCATTTATTATAATAGACTAAGTGTAAAACTCATGTATTACATGAGTTAATTAAAAAAAATTAAATATAAAAGTTTAAATATTTAAGAACTTTGGATTTATAAGAAAATAAGAAAAATAATGAATTATTAAAATTGATTTTTTTATCTTTTAAATTTAAATAAATAAAAAAATAAACTAATGAGCTTTAATTTGAGAATTTTTAAATAAAAAGGTAAGTCCATTGATGAAATTGATATTCATTTATTACTACATTTATTGTAATTATTACATTAAAGTATTTTGTGAAATTTATTAAAATAGAAAAACTCATAAAATGACATGTGGAAAATAAATTAAATCAAAATAACCACAAAATTACATTTGGCAAAATTGAATGAAAGTGTGACATGTGGCAAAAAAAATCTTCATTTATTATAGTAGATTTTTATCTTTTAAATTTAAATAAATAAACAAAATAAACTAATGAGCTTTAATTTGAGAATTTTTAAATAAAAAGGTAAGTTTATTGATGAAATTGATATTCATTTATTACTACATTTATTGTAATTATTACATTAAAGTATTTTGTGAAATTTATTAAAATAGAAAAACTCATAAAATGACATGTGGAAAATAAATTAAATCAAAATAACCACAAAATTACATTTGGCAAATTGAATGAGAGTGTGACATGTGGCAAAAAAATCTTCATTTATTATAGTAGATTATAAATAATCAAAAATCAATAAATAAATTAAAAATAAATAAATAAGAAATAATCAATAAATAAATCAAAAAAGAAATAAAGAATGATAACATAGTCTTTTTAGGTACGGCAGAGACCAAACATGTAACAAAAATCTATCAAAAAGACCATCCGAGTTTAAAAAAAAAAATTAAGTACCAAACACACAAATTATCTCAAACCACAGGAACCGTTTCGTTTAATTTACTCTAATTTTATTAGTCATGTATCGACAGTGCCATTCTTGGAATTTTTTCAAAATATTTTATCTAAGAGCAATATAATTTTATTAGTCATGCACTGCACTGTTTGCCTGCATTTGATCGGCTGTGACTTGTGACATGTATTTATTAAATTATATATTTATTTCCAGAAAAGGAAAATAAATGTTTTACATATCTATATTGTTTCCTTTTTTATCTTATTTTGCATACGCCCAATTCCCTAGTACCATATCGTGTATAATTATGTTTATTTTTAACCTGTTTATTTGCTTTAATGTATTTCTAGCTCAAAGTTGTAAAATATAATACTATATAACAAACTAAATAAAACCACAATACAGATATAAATACAAATACAAACACCATAACCACAACATTACACACGAACAATTGTTTCCACAAAACATTCTAAACAAATCATACAATGTTCCACCACCATCAAGGTGGCCTATCCGTATCACAAAGTATGAAACATTCCAAAATTAAGTTGACACATGTTCGAATCTCATAGACACAGCCTTTGAAATTCAAAAAAATCAATCATACAACCTTCCAGAAAATTATATACCAAGCCAACTCTTAGTTTTACTAAATCAAACAAACCGGAAGACCATGAGAGCGAAAAGAAACAGATTTTGCATCTTCATATCATATGTGCCCATGATTCCATGAACTATAAACCGAAAACAAGGATCATAGATACGACAACACCACCAATACCAGTATTTGAAATGTATACGGGTGGTTTTGAGAGTATAGAGACCGCTCTACTTTTCTTAGTACTAGGAGGACGATCGTTCTGACCACCATATGTACCCTTCCCTTTACTTGCCTTCGATAGCATCAATTGATCACGTTTCAAGCCATCATCTCCATTATAACCATTTTCACTCAAACTAGGTGTGCCTTTCTCCTCTACATGATTAAAAACAGAATACTAAATAATTAACTTTTCATGAATTAAACGGTTATAGATAAGTGTAATATTTATATTAAAAAAAACTTACCTTGAGATTCAAGAGCCAAGTTAGATAGGAATTGAACACACAAAAGAATGAAGAAGAATGCAAGAAGCATTGGAGACTTCATTGCTCTTATGTGGGCTAATGCGGCTTATGAATGCTTATAAGTAGATGAATTATGTACATATGAGGATTTGTTCCATTTGAAAATGGGAATCAAATAAAGTTGAACAAGAAAAAAACAGTAAGAGAATAACTCCTTTTTAAGTTTCAACATGATGCACGTGGGTATCCAGAAGATTGTAAGAGTGGACATCAAGGAAAGGACATGAGAGCCAACTTGTCATTCTTACTTTGCATCTTCACGTTCACTGTTTGAATTTTGAAAGACTCGTGTTTAAATTTTCAAGACATTTAAAAAAAAATACAGAAAAATATACACTATACACTATTAATTAAAATTATTTTCCAATATTTGTCACTTCTTGTTTCATATAATAATGGAACCTTCTGCATCAAAATCTTGAGAAGAGCATATCACCATTCACCATGAACCCGTCCTTTCATCACAATCGAGATAACATACTTCAGTTCACCACCCGTTTTCTTATAAACCTGACAAAACAGGAGTTCCAGCCGGATTAGGGTTTAATTTTCTATCTGTCGATTCTGGCAACTTAAAGTTTTGGCTATGGGGAACAAAAGGGTATCACGATTCACAGATGCAGATGGAGAAATCCCTAATTTCGCCAAACGATTCTGGAGATGAAGGATGATGCAGATGGAGTCATGGAGAAGACCCAAAGATGAAAGATTGGAAGAAGAATAAGTTTTTGGAATGAAAATGATGAAAGGTGTTTTGCAGATTGCAGGGAAGGTTAACGGGTAAAAGTCCCGGCCCAACCCGACATCCGGTAACGGGTTAGGCCTGCAAGGCCCATATTTCAGATACATTGATTGAGATGAAAAGAGCAATCAAAGTACATTCTTGTTTTTTTTTTGTCTAATCTAATTCCAACCCAAAAATAAACTGATATGAATGAATATATTGATTTCAAAATTAAAATACATTTAAAAACGAGCATGGTTTCTTAACATGTGATAATCTATTTGATGGTCCATATATGATATACCATACGTATTTTCATAGAGGATTAATTATGGATAGAGATGGAAATGTGGCTATTGGGACCCCAATCCACATCTCCGTCTCGAATATAAATGAATCTTCATCCATATCCCAATGGGACCGAGGATTAGGAGTGAATATGGTGCGGTTTGGTGCGGTTTTAGGGCCAAACCGAACCGCAAACCACAAGGTGCGGTTTTTGAATTATAGAAACTGTTGGGTGTGGTTTTTCAGTGGTTCGGTTTTGCGGTTTTTGAGTGCGGTTTTGGTTTGTACCGGTTCGGTGTCGGTTTTAAACCGAGTCAAACATATGGTGCGGTTTTTTATGTTCACTGGTACATTTTTTTAACCGTGGTGTTCATGTGAAAATTTATGATTGTATGACGTGCTGTCATTTCGTTTCCTCACATTTAGAAGCTGTAATTTTGAGTTTTTATGTTGTTTACTTGATCACTTCATTTGCAACCCATATTCTCAAGCTCATTTTTTTATTCAATTTGTGCTTAGAAGTTACAAGCTTGCAAGCTATAGCCCACATAGTGTTTACACTTACACATAATCATTAAGTCACAAACACGAAGTGACAAACTCACATATTAAACATAATACCTAATTACTAATTACCGTCAAGTTCAATATATATAATATATGTATAAAATAAATTTATTAGTTTTTTAAATAATATGCATAATTGTATAATATAAATTAGTGATTTATTTTATCGTTAATAAGCTTGCGGTGCGGTTCGGTTTTGGTGGTCCGATTTCTAGATAAAAACCGCACCGCACCAATAAATTCGGTTTTTCAAAAAAATAAAATTTGCACCATCGGTTTTTGCGTCGGTTTCGGTTTTTCGGTTGCAATTTATTGCGGTTTTTGCGGTTGTTCTTTTATCGGTTCGGTTTTTGCTCACCCATACCGAGGATCCTAGCATGGAACCAGGGATTCCTTTTTCTATTTTAATATAAGATTTTTATGTATAAAAAACTCTAAATTTCAATTTTACCAATATAAGTTTAAATATTTTACAAAACAAAAACATTCATAGATTGCATAAAAACTATAAACAATTTTCTACCCAAATTTAACATCATACATGGAAAATCAAGTAGAAAACAAATATCAGAGTGATATTTGAGGTAAAAATAGATAAACCAAGGAGAAAAAAAATATATACGAGATTAAATTAGATAAATGAATAAAGAAATGTAAAATTTTAACCAAGTAATTACTAATGAGTTGAGTTGCTTATATCAAATTTCAGGTACTGTAAATTTTATTATAAATATATGTTGTAACTATACACTAGATTAATGCAACAGAAGCATTCAAAATTTATCTTAAGTATACATGAACCTTAGGATCTAAGTTTTACTATTATAGCAATGTACTTTTAAAACTAACCTAACACGGTAAAAGAGAAAGGATTGAAACACTAACCTTTGACAAATCGAATTACCTTGTAGCTTTGACTTATTGTTGCTTCTTGGAAATACTAGTACCCAAAGTAAAGTACCTCTAATGATTCACACTCAAAAGTCAAGAACCCTAGAACTAAAGAAGAGATATATGCGAGAGAGGATATCAGATTTTTGCAGCCTTCTAGGAGGTAGGGTCAGACAAAATTATGAGCTCCCTAAGGCCCATTTATATAGTTGTGGTGCTAACAGGATAACCCTAATTTGAATCAATTAAATATTAAGATTTAATACAGATTCAAATCGTTTCCTTATCTATTACTATGATTGATTCTGAAAGCCTCCAATGAGCCTATCAAAATCGTCCACCGCCTAGGGTTTCCAGAATGTTCAAATTGTTTAATTATTGAATAATTAACATTCAGTCCCAGCACCTCTAGATTAATTTCAAATTAATTCAAATTAATTTTAACTAATTTCTAATTAATTTATTATCATGTAGTAAATTAATAAACTATTTTCTCAATCTCCTAAAATTATTTCTATTTATTTTTGCTCTTGAAGGCAACCCAAAAGGACTTTGTTATTATTCCCAAAGTTGTACCAATTAGTTATGATATTAAATGTATATTTCCAACAGTCTCCCACTTGGACAATTCATCAACTACCATTGGTCAGATAAACTTCGAATAACCAACAAAGCGTGCTTTCCACAACAACTGTTGAACTCTGATCTTATCAAGAATTGGACCTAAGATAAGTGATCAATTATTCATTTTATTTTTCTTTCAATATATCATTATGGACTAAGTCATGGATTATGAATCAACCTAACAGTCTATCAGTATGTTTCTCGATTTCCGATTTATGACGAACAAATCAAACTACTAATCGAACACATCAATTAAGTTTGGGCTAGGCCTAACACATGTGTAGGAGCGTAAAGATAGAATATCAAGCAATGAAGAACAATAGGTAATCAAAAACCAATGTTGATTAAGAACTCTCACAAAGAGATAATGTAACAAGCAACGTATTTTACATTCAACCCTAATGTAACTAAAATACTAGGAAAAGACTATTCTAGAAAGAGATCCCTTCATATCAGGGATTCAAATACAAAATATATATACTATACAAAAGAATATCATATCACTAAGTTTCGGATCTGGAAAATTGTTGCAAAAGTAATTGTCATGCTGCAGTGAAAGACCTTGAACAACGTGATAGGTTTTATGCAAAACAAATAAAATTAAAACCCTTAAGTTCACATGCAACCTAAGGATCTATGTTTTCACTATTGAATCTATAACTAAGAACATCAAATAAGAAATCCTAGAAACCTAGGTATATTTCGAAAATGATAATAGGGTTTAGGTTTACATACCTTGTTGTTATTATAGCAAATAACAAGAATCCTTTACTTGTAGATCTTTTGGAAGCAAGCACCACAATTTTCGTGCCTCTAATAACTCACACCCAACCTAGAAAGAAAGAAGACTATAGAGAAAGGAGATGAGAGATGAGAATTTTGGCTATCTATTTGGAGGTATGAGTGGCCAAAAATACAAGGGTTAAGGGTCTTTATATAGTGCTCCAAGGAAACCCTAGATAACCCTGATTTGAATATTAAATTAATATTTCAAATCTGGTATTTATCTCATTCCTTATTTATCCACATGAAATATTCTAAAAACCCTAGAATATCCCCTCAAAACCGTCCAACCCTAATGGTGGAAGGTTCTGGAGCCTTTTGTTCAACTATTAAACATTTGCACTTTAAACCCTGCACTTTTAATTAATTATATTAATCCCAAAATTAATTCGAATTAATTTCTGATTAATTATTACTTAAATAATAGCTTTTCTTATCAATATATTATTTTCATAATACATTAATAAACTTTTTATATTAATTTATTAATCACATAATAAAATAATCTCTCTCCCTCTCTCTCTAAAAGTCATAATGTCCAATTGCTAGGTTTCAGGGCAACCCAAAAGAATTGTGCTACTATCAATTCAATTACATACCAATTATAGTTATGGTCTTATACACCTAATCCTAACATTCTTCTACTTGGATAAGTCTGTATCTATAACTACTAGTATAACTTCCGAATCAATCAGCAAATTGTAGCTTCCAACAGTCGTTGTCGAACTCTAACCTAGTCAGTTACGTGTCCTAAGATAAGTGATCATATAATTCTCCATTCTGCAAGATATCATTTGGACATGAGACATGGAATAGAATCAAATTCATTGTCCAAGACTCTGTTTCCCGATTTCTGATTTTGTGATGATATAGGACTTCTAATTGAACACATCAATTTAGTCCTGGTTTGGCCCAACACTATAAGTCAACATCAAATCACCGAGAGGCCCAAAGATATCGCTTTTCCGTTAATGCAAAAGGAACGAATAAACTTTGAATCATATACTTGTTGGATTAGGTGTCTAAGCCCATAACTATTTTGGTATGTACTTGACCCGATTATGAGCATGGTCCTTTTGGGTTGCCTTCACCATAGCAACCGATAGGATGAATTGAGGGGGAAGAGGATGAATTATGATTTATTAATATATTATGTGAATAATATATTAAAATAGAAATCATATTGTTTAATTAATATTGATCAAGAATT